TTTTTATTGCTGAAGCTCAAATACATATCATGGGCAGGGTGGCCCAGTGGTTAAAGTTCAGAGTACCAAGATTGGCGCAGAGAGGCGCGGGTTCGATCCCAGCTCTGAGCGCCAGTTTCTGGTCAGAATCGGCATGGAGGCCGGGCGGTTAAGCACAGCAGAAATTGTAGCAGTGCGTTGCGAGTTCGAGACCTCAAAATGCTGTGATTGTTCTGCGATGTTAAGAAGCAGCGACAGGCCTACGGCCTATTAAACGCTGAAACCGCTATTACCGCTATTATTATTAAAAATAAATTGCACGTAAATCGCAGCTATTGCACCATCAAGTGGGAGATTTAGATGAACAGTGAGCTTAAAAACAAACAAATCAATTAACTTCAGAGCTTTGTAGTACTCGTTATATGCTATGGCACACGCTATGTGTATGCAACATTGAAACATCCTTCAATCCTCCTGTTTCTATAATGCTTGTGTGTAAAAATGACCTTAATAGCGGTCCAAAACTCTCCCACTAACTGAAATAATAATAGTAAATAATAGTTGTGCCAGCGTATAAGATTACGCTATTAAGCCTGTAGCTGGTTCTGAACATCACAGAATTTTTCGAATGACGTTGCGGGCTTCGAACACACAACTCGCTGTTCCACTATCCGCTACACGGGGCGCGTGCCGGAGGCCAGCTTTGCCAAACTTCACACTTAGTTCATATTCCTTTACATAGGTAGGAACGCCAGGGTGCATAACGGTACCAACTGCAACCTTTCTCCACCCAAAACAAACCTGAGCGGACCTAACCTAACCTCATTGGCTGCAAGAAGTTTGAAAGGCGGTCCATGTGTGCTGGTAGAGCCAGTCATTGGCTGCAAGAAGGTTGTGAGCCGGGACAGCGTGAATAGGTTAGGTTTTAGTATGCTTTCATTTCTCCTTTGTTAAGATCGGTGGCAGTTTAGGGTTACTTGTCGAATCTACTTGGAGTCGTCCTTAACTTGAACCTTACACAGTGCTAATATTGTTTTGTCATTACGATGTGTAATATTTATAAAATATTTTATAAATATATTTGTAAAATATTTTATGCACGAAGTTGCGAATTATGGTCACATAAAAATCATTGTTGGCTTTATAAAGAGTCATGTGTATTCGGGACCCTTGTTAACTCTTCAGTATAAAATTGAAAACTCCATGCGGTCATTGACTGTCACCAGCCCTACCGAGAGACAAGCAGATGAACCTTCTAAATAAATCAGTTGTCTGCCTACTCCATGTTTATCGTAGTTTGCTCCCCACTCCGTGATATCCAACACCGAGCCCACTCAGAAGCCTGCAGTTTGCTGCATACTCCCTATAGCCAACCGAGTTCAATCTAAAGACTGGAGTTAGCTGCCCACTCCGTATTACCCAACACCGAGTTCAATCTACAGACTGGAATTAGCTGTCCACTCCGTACCGTATTACCCAACACCGGGTTCACTCTAAGTCTAAAGACAATAGTCTTTAGAGTGTACTATGAAGATTAATAGTTAGCTGCCAACTCCGTATTACCCAACACCGAGTTCAATCTAATGACTGGAGTTAGCTGCTTAATTATTCCGTATTACCCAACACCGAGTTCAATCTAAAGACTGGAGTTAGCTGCTTATTCCGTATTACCCAACACCGAGTTCAATCTAAAGACTGGAGTTAGCTGCCCACTCTGCATTTCCCAAAACCGAGCCCATTGTAAAGACAGGAGTTAGCTGCCCAGTGCCCACTCTTTGTCACTATTTGCAGGGCCAAATTGAGTTTTATTTCATTTTTCAATGCCATCCATTTATCTCATTATAAAATCTTTATTCTATTTCTTATTTTATATCAGACAAAAAATAAAATCTCCACTAATATGAGCTGCTCCCCGCATTTTATATACACTCGCACAATACTTATCAATAAATATTATGCTAACTTTGTATGAAATATCTTGCTAGCTTTAGATGGAAGGGACCTTTTTTATTCCATATTTACCTTGAAACCTAATCTCGCATTTTACAAGCAATTATAAACTTCCTCATCCGTTCCTCTCATCTAATTAGTGGCGCGCCCATGGTGCTAGATACTAAAAAAGAACCTTGTCTTCTGCGGTGGTTTGGTAACCCAAGTTTTTTAAGTACTAGTAGTTTTTATGTCGGAACGACTGAAAATTAGAATCACCAGTTAAGTTAGAGGCAGTGTAATACAAGCGTTCCAAAAGCAAATTTCCTAAAAAAATTCCAAGCCCCCCCCAATGCAACCTATTCTAAGAATCAGATCATAACCTCCTTTTTACCATACTACTATCTAACTTCACTTCTTGTTGTTTGTCTGTCTATCACAAATTCCCGATATTGCAATTCCTGGTTAACTTGCGATTTAAGCAAACAAGTGATTTTAATAATTATATCCCATAAATCTTATAATAGATATTTAACACACTTTTACCTGTCCAATCGATCCGAAATTTCGCACACATGCGCAAAGTCAGAGACAATGCTTGAATCGAATGACAGAATAAAGAAAATAATTTTAATTTTTAAAATAATTTTTCATTTAAACTTATGTTTTAAGAAGGAGCTGAACTCACAAGCCGTATGAACTACATCGCTTGACGACGCTAGAAACTCGCTTCCAGATTTAAGTTCGGAGTTATTTCTAACAAGAATTTCCTTGTCCATTCCTTTTTTTGCAAACAAATTATATTCTTTCGCTCATTGTGTGTCATTACTGACGCTCGCTTAGAGCACTTCAGAAATATGACTTCAGTTTTCATGCTGCCTTGTTGCAAGAATGTCGTGCCAGACAAGCAGATTCTTACAGTTAGCAAAAAAAATTATTTCCTGCGTATCAACTTAAATTTTATTGATCCGCTCGTTTGCCTATCACCATCGTCTACGATTGTTGTTTCTAGTAATTAATTTAATTTTATAATAAACACACGAAATTTTGGTTCGGTCTACGTGCTCCTTCTTTCCTCGTGGATACCAACACCGCGAGCCTGACTCGAAGCTGTTCTCGCAGGCATTTGTAGCCGAAATTGTTCTCGGCTGAAATTGTTCTCGGCTGAAATTGTTCTCGGTTGTATAACCTGACTGATGAGAAAAATCTCAATTAATTCTGAAGCACATACTGAGCTTCAGAATGCCTTTTCTAATTATTTGATGACGACGATAAACAAATTCACGAGGAGAATAATTATGGAAGGATGTTCGTACAAGCAATATATTCTCAATCCTTCATTTTAACGCTCTGCTTAACAAAATAATATACATATATTTCTGCATTCATCAGAATATTGCTCTTTGGTACATTTTATCATTGAAAAAATTCCTTTATCTTTGATCATTTACACCTAGATTTCCTGAATTAAGAATTTTTTAGCTTGGATCTTGTCCTGAAAATATTTTAAAATTCAGATAAATTGTATAAATATGGTTAGATAAACTTTTTAACAATTTTTTTTCATTTAAAATTTTGAAAAATTTTTTTTACTATTTTTTTGATTTTAAAAGGGTTTTCAAACCCTTTTAAAGGGTATTTTCATTTAAATTTTAGAAAGTTTGATTATTGAGGAATTATTGTTAATTAAGAATCCCTAGTATCAAAAGCATGATAAACGAAGGAATAATTTTTCTCTATTTCAGAGCAGAGAATTCAGTTATATGGGATACAACTTGGCGTAATTTGGACGCGATAATAAAAAACAATCTACGATAAAGAGCACTATGAGCTATCAAAATGACAATTTTTGATAGAAGGCGAGTAGAGAAGCCAGCGCTATTTTGAGTCGTGATGTCAGCGTTCATCGTGAGCCTTTTCCTCCTGTATAATCCCGCTGCTGTACAGGCTTCAATTTAGTTCTATAGAACACAGATAAAATTATGACAAAACTCTCTCTGGGATCAACACTTAATGTGAGCCCTATGAAATGAGCATGTACTAATTTAATAACGTTAATCGAACTAATTTCGTAATAAAAAAATTTCATTCCACAAATGATTTTGATGTTTGCCATTTATATTAAATGATCTGATAAATTAGTTTATATCAACTGAACGTTAATGACCCCATATGACTTCCGGCTAGGAAGATAACATTTACGTAATGATAACATTTAATGGATGAAGCCAGAGAACTAACTGCCGAGGAACAAAATGCTTAGGATTTCTCAAAATAATTATTCTTCGAAGCTTCATATACCGCTTAAACTTCCAATTTTTGAGAGATTAATTTATATATGTGTTGCAATTAACGTTTTTATTTTTTGCTTGTTAGTAAAAGAATGATATAAGCATTAGAGAGAATAATTTTCCTCTGTCATTCATGTACAGGAAGACCGGTAAATAAGCCTTCTATTTTTCGCAATATGGCATGGCGATAGTTGAACGAACTGCAAATTTTCTAAGATAAAGAGTCTCTAAGTCATACAAATTAGGTTCCTTATTGCCTATGAAGATAACACCAAATCATTGACACAGATCTTCCAAGAAACTATGGAGCGACTATCCCGGTTTTTACAGCTTCTGAATATCGGCCAAAGATCTCAATTCCCTAACAAAATTCGGGGACCGCCTATAGTTTTCGGCCGAATACCCACTACACTCGGCGCAAAGTTTTTCTTGGTCTGCTGGGCCACCCGATCGAAATCAGTTTCTAGTCAGAGTCACCTATCCGACTTCATAGCCGCCTGGGAGTATGATAAGGGATGGCCGAGCCGAGTCAAACCGAGCTGGCAGTCTGCCCAGAGGCTGCCTTTCGAACCAAGAGCCGGAGCGGACATATAGAGAAGCTGATTTACGTGCGGCCCTATGCACGGATGCGCACGCCTCTAAATTTCGTTTGGATTGTTGTTATAGTGAGCAGAATGTTTTCCTACAAACTCGTGATACTTAATTAATAGCGAGTCATAAATTTGATTGCAGTTAAACCACAACATTGGCTGGTTGATCATATATTTCATTTCTCTTTTTATCAACGAAGCAATTTCAAGAATATATAAACTCTTGCAACTTATGAAGGTGTTAATAGCATTGCTATATAATGAGGGGAGATCTTCTATCGTGCGGTTCAATTCTTGGAGCTCGTTAACAATGAGTTGCATCTGCCAAACTGCCACAGATGCAAAATTTCAAGATTTTGGCGGTTGATGAGCGTTTAAATTCTTGACTAAATGCGTATAAAATTATTTCGCGTAATAAAAACGGATATTGGAAATCCCATTGCGGAAAATTAAGCTATAAATGTTCATGTGTGAAATAACCTTCAATTTATAATAATTTTATACCCAACAGATCTAATTGTGATGAATGGGGTACTGATAACTGTAAAAATATAAAATAAAATATAGACGCACAGTTGTAACAATAATTTAACGATATTTCTACAAACAAAAAGTCACGAGTCGATGGAATTTTAAATATATTTTCGCATAAATTAAAGTTATAGAAGCGGTATTTTGAATATCAAGTGCGATGATTAACATGCAAATGTGTCGAAATCGCCAATTTAGAAAAATTATGAAAATGACCAAAAAATCAGCAATGCGAATCATGGCAACGCTGACGTACATAACGGTTTTTATATTAGGCCTATTTTTTCTAAAATATTCAACTCTTGAAAGAAGCGCTCGCGCATTTTCAGGATCAAGTGAATTTGTTCCCAACAGCCGAAGAGTCATCGGCTTTAGAGGTGAGAAAATATCCCAAGCTAGGACTTTGTCACGAGGGCGATAATGTAAACTGGTGCATTAGTACATATAACAGATGGTTTTGTCTCTACAACAAAGGTGTATCTTCATAAAATAAAACGTTTCGGAGTCCAGCTCCAACCACATATCAACAAATCTAGAAAGTGTATCTAATTTGACTCACTGGTAACTATCGATCATCTATTCAAGAACCAGCTGCACTGGAATGAACGTGCATATTATGCTACAAAATGAATTTGACGAACCTCTCTTAGAGAACCAAGAAGTCTCAAAGGATCATTCCAACATTGTATTCAAACAATGCGTATTCTTTAATTAACACGAAACTACCACAATGCAGCTCAGTTTTTCTCATGTCATATATAGATGATAATTAATCGGAAAATAAATTTCTCAGATATAAACTCGGAGGAGACTCGGTCGGACGATCCACGCCTGATTGACCTCATCCGCAAACTCTACCTGATACCGGCCTCCGCTGAGCCGTACGCGCTTAGTGGCCAGATGTATCTCTCGGACGGCCAGTCTAAAGTTGTCGACAAATTGTTTAAACAGAAAGTAAGTAAATTTTCTGGCTAAATCAAAGATCAAAATTGAATTAGCTGACAGAATAAAAGTATCAAACAGAATGTTCCTATAGGATCTTAGCCGCAGACTTAAGAATATTGTAATACATAGAACGTATAAGGGTCGAAAGAAAGTTACACCGCCATCCATTTCCACTACATTACTATGGTTTCCTCGGACATCCTCTAAAGCCGGACCAACCATTTGAAGGCATAATCTAAAAAATTTGTTAAGATTGTCTCTAAATTTAGAAATTAAGTCTATTCCACAGAAATTCTGGAACGGGAATTGTAATCACGATTAATTACTGAACAGTTTTCAATGAGACTACTTCATACAGTAATTAAAGTGATGTATATTGTTTCAACATAAAATTAATTGAAAGCTTTACTTTATTTCATGTATTTAAAACACAATACCGCTTGCAATGCTATTTGTTATTGCTTATCTTGAAATTAAAAGTTCTACAATACTCCTTCCATCAAATTTCAAGTTTCCAGGATTCATGTCGACGAGAGTTCTATTCTACTGTATTCCGCTTATTTAAAGAAGCCCTCATTCCACTAAGAACCAGTAAAATATACTAACCGACAGCAATGCACGATTAAAAAGGAATTTGGGGAAAGTATTTGGAACATTTGAAAAAAAAGTGGTTCTGTCTCTTCACGCAACATCACAGTAACTCTAGTTGAGCGTCTTCGGTGTGTGTCCGCAAACTTTAACACTTCGACGCCGCTTCGATTGTTGGCGCCGCACATAAGGTGCAGAAAATTTCCCACCACTAAAAAGAATAATAAATAGGGAGAAAAAAAATGGTACATTATTCATAAATTAGTTTTTAACCTTGAATTTGATGCATAAGCACATGATTCAGTACAATTTCCAGTCATCTCACAATGTTCTAATTCCTACTCAATTTCCACGCACACAAGGTGACTACGAAAATAAGACTTAGCCATGTTCTACCTCGCCGTTGCAGACATAAGGGGTGACGACAAAGATAAGATATACCCATGATCTACCTCACCGTTGCAGACACACGGGGTGACGACGAAAATAAGACGTACACTTGTTCTACCTGACCGTTGCAGACACACGGGGTGACGACGAAAATAAGACATACCCTTGTTCTACCACACCGTTGCAGACACACGGGGAGATTATGAAATAAGACATACCCTTGTTCCACCACACCGTTGCAGACACACGGGGTGTAGACGTAAGACATACCCTTGTTCCATCACATCGTTGCAGATACACGGGGTGACGACGATAATAAGACATACCCTTGTTCTATCACATCGTTGCAGACTCACGGGGTGTTCGTCGAGTGCGGTGCATACGACGGCGAGTTTCTCTCGAATACTCTGTTCCTGGAACGCTTCCGGGCCTGGACTGGCCTGTTGATGGAGCCCGAACCCAGCAACTTCGAGGCTTTGAAGAGACGCCGTAGAAAAGCTTTGATATCAAACTCTTGTCTATCCAATAAACCTCATCCAAGTGAGGTCGGTTTGTTGACAATTCCCTTTGTACTCGTCTCTTGTAATTGTGTGAGAAAATGACAAATTCTTTAGTCATTTCCTTACACTTTAACCTTCTTGAGTACTTACAATATTAAAGGTTCGAGTCTGGGCGCAAACCAACTACGGAATGACTCATGCTGAACCATTCCCATTGAGTTAAAACAGACATTATAGTAAGTAATCAACCGAATTCTAAAAATCTTATTTTCTTCCCCAGTTCATACTGCGTCAAGAACGCTACCTGAGCGAAACTCTGGACGTTACGAACATAAGTTACGATCGTCAGACTTTCGGAACAGGACTTACGGGAGACGTGAGCTACAAGATAGTGCAATGCTTCCCCTTCTACACTTTCTTACTGGCCACTAACATCACCGCCATCGACTACTTCAGCCTCGATGTTGAGGGACAGGAACTCAATGTGCTCAAGACGATCCCGTGGCACCAAGTGGATATCAAGGTGAGGAGATGATGCGGATTCGGAATTAAAGCAGAAATTGGGTTATCGCTGATTGCGATATCGATTAGATTTTGATAAATTCAAGATTCTAGAAAGTCAACTGCCATACATTATTACCCGTGTTATCTTACCAATTAATTTTTCTTAATATATTCACCAACATTTTTTGTGTTTGACCGTTTTAGTTTTCGCCGTAGTAACGTTTTAAAGACAGCAAAAATTTTATGTGAATTGAGCTCCAATACAGTATCATCCACACCTCACCGATATGTGTACCTGGTGCCACAATAACGTGGTCTCATGAAGCAACATATTCGAGTTCTTTCTTACTCTAAGCCATCTCTAAGCCAACAGATCGTTTTGCTTGGGAGTTAAATTCCTCTTACAACTTACTTATCTTTCTCCATAGGTGATGAAGTAGCATTTAATGTCAGACATGAGGTGTGCACTCTTCCTACTTGTCCGTGTGTAATGACAAGAAACACAACTTCAAACAACGGAAAGATAATTAAAATAATCAAGTCTCCGTTCAGCAGGTGGTAGTAAATCAAGAAATGAACTTGACATTACTAATGTCTTCCTTATACGATAATCAAGCCTCGTGTTCTACAGGTGATCTCAGTAGAGTACCAGCACGTGGAGGGAGGGAAGGCGGCCGTCAACGCCCACATGGAGGCGGTAGGGTACGTGGTCCACGAAGAAGTCACTGACCCCTCAGGCAACCCCAGTGACGTGGTTTACGTCAGACGAGATCTCGTCGACCGATTTGGTCTTGCGTAGTTATGATTAATGCACTGTGAGCTGCTGATTATTGGACTTGTGGAAGCGTACAATACTCTTAAGGTGATTGCATACTGTGAATAATTCTTTTTTCGGTTTATTTAGTGTTGACGACTGGAAGGTAGCATATACAAAATATATTTTAGTTGTATTACATCTAGCAGCGGTCAATTTCGGTCTATCCACCGCTAAAGATTAAGATAAGATGACGTTACAATAATTTCACTTATGTAAGTATCGGAGAGAAAAGCTGAGCAATTTTTTTCGGTTAACTTAATAAATTGGTATGAATTCATGTAATTCAAATAAAAATTTAATTTTTACTTCAATGGCGGTATATTTTTAGGAGTCGGCGATTCAAGCTGACTGATAATATAAATACCAATCTAACCTTATTTATATTTTCGAAAGGGATAGCTATTCAAGGTGCATTGAAATCGCTGTATATTATTAATTTTATAAAATATGTTATGCACGAAGTGGCGAATTATGGTCAGATAAAAATTGAAGCTAGCTTTATAACGAGTCATGTGTAAAAGAGACTCTTCAGTATAAAATTAGAGACTCAATGCGGTCATTGACTGTCACCAGCCCAACCGAGAGACGTTGCAGACGAATCTTCTAAATACGACAGTTGTCTGCCCACTCCATGTCTATCAATACAGGGCCCACTTAAAAGCCTTTAGTTTGCTGCCCTCACAGTATTACCTAATACCGAGCCCACTCAAAAGACTGCAGTTTGCTTCCCACTCCGTATTACCTAATACCGAGCCCACTCAAAAGCCTGTAGTTTGCTGCCCACTCCGTATTACCTAATACCGAGCCCACTCAAAAGCCTGTAGTTTGCTGCCCACTCCGTACTACCTAACACCGAGCCCACTCAAAAGACTGCAGTTTGTTGCATACTTCCTATTACCCAACACCGATTTCAATCTAAATACTGAAGTTAGCTGCCCACTTCGTATTACCCAACACCGAGTTTAATCTAACCCACTTCGTATTACCAACATCGAGTTCAATCTAAAGACTGGAGTTAGCTGCCCACTTCGTATTACCCAACACCGAGTTCAATCTAACCCACTCCGTATTACCCAACACCGAGTTCAATCTAAAGACAGGAGTTACCGGCTCACTCCGTATTACCCAACACCGAGTTCACTTAGGGACAGGAGTTAGCTGCCAACTCCGTATTACCCAACACCGAGTTCACTTAAGGACAGGAGTTAGCTGCCCACTCCGTATTACCCAACACCAGGTTCAATCTATGAACTGGAGTTAGCTGCCCATTCCGTATTTCCCAGAAACGACCCCAATCATAAGCCTGCAGTTTGCTGCCCACTCCGTACTACCCAAAACCGAGCCCATTCAAAAGGTAGGAGTTAGCTGCCCAGTGCCCACTCTTTATCCCTACATGCTGGGCCCAATTAAGTTTTATTTCATTTTCAAATGCTGTTGCCGGCGCGTGGATGCGGGTGGAGTCTGAAGGACCCACTTTGTGTCTCAGGCAACCGTATGATTTATATAATTGATTTGATGGAAGAGTAAAAGAGTGGTACATATTAAGTATACTGGATTGTCTGTTTACAGCTGAGGATCACACAGTATTGATGGTAACAAAATGAGTTGAATGAGCAAATTGAAATTTAGATTCAGATGTAAATTTGAGTGTGATATAAGGAGCATGTAAATTTGAGTGTGATATAAGGAGCATGAGAGGGGCAAGCAGTAACCAAGCATTAGGTCTTTTCAGCACAAGCCACCAGTACAGAGTACAGATTTGCTTTTGTGGAGAAAGGGTCATGGTAACCCCCGGTTACAATGCCATCCATTTTATCTAATTATTAAATCTATTTTCTATTTCTTATCTTATATTAGACAAAAAATAAAATTTCCACTAATATGAACTGCTCCCCGCATATTATATATACTCGTACGATGCTTATCAATAAATGTTATGCTAACTTTGCATGAAATATCTTGCTAGTTTTAGATAGAAGGAACCTTTAATATTCCATGTTTTTCTTGAAACCTAATCTTGTTATTTTACCAGCAATTATAAACTTCTTCATCCGTCCCCTCGTCTAATTAGTAGCGCGCCCATGATGCTAGATACTATAAAATATAACTCAGTACTCACTGCAGTGAGTGACAGAGCTCACATTTTCTCGTCGACGAAAACGTGAAGTCATGGACAGACGGACGGACGGACATGACGAGCACAATAGGGCATTTTTTCCATAAATGAGAAAATGCGCTAAAAAGAACTTTGTCTTCTGCGGTGGCTTGGTAACTCAAGTTGTTTGAGTAGTCGAGTACAACTGTACGCAGAGCTTAATTAATGTGATGGCCGGCATTGAAGTCGATTTTGCTACTCCCGTCATACAGAGAATAATTATGTGCGATCATTAAACAGGAGAAGACAGAAAATTACCGTTTTGGAATGAAGCCTTTTAGCTGCATAGAACGATCGGAACGACCAAAAATTAGAACCTGTAACGTACGTTAAGTTTGAGGCAGTGTAATACGAGTGTTCCTATAAAGCAAATTTACTAAAAAGTTCCGGTCCCCTTATTCAATTTAGTTCTATGAATCAGATCATAATCTCCTTTTTGCATTTAAACTTGTGTTAGGAGGGAGCTGAACTCAAAAGCACTTCGAACTGCATCGCTTGACGACGCGAGAAACTCGCTTCCAGGTTTAAGTTCTGACGTATTTCTAACGAGGATTTCCTTGTCCAATCCTTTTTTTGCAATCAAATTAAATTTTTTCACTCGTATGCTATTACGGACGCCAGCTTTTTTTAGAGCACTTCAGAAATGTGACCTCAGTTTTCATGCTGCTTTGTTGCAAGAATGTTGTGCCAGAAAAGCAGATTCTTACATTTAGTGAAAAAATTTATTTTCAGCGTATGAACTTAAATTTTATTGATCTGCTCGTTTACCTATAACCATCCTCTACGATTGTTGTTTCTAGCAACTTATTTAATTGTATAATATAAACATGAAAGTTTCGCTCGGGCAACGTGCTCCTTCTTTCCTCGTGGATACCAACACCGCGAGCCTGACTTGAAGCTGTTCTCGCAGGCATTTAGCATTGCATAGCATAGTGATGTCGGCGCTGAAGTGTAGGCCTGATGTGGCCTGTCGTCGATTCTTTTCCTTTTCGTGCCTTGTTCATAGATCTAAACTCGTGTCATTTGACCGGATCGTTTCATGACTGACGATAGTTTGAAGTAGCTACTAGACTCCCACCGGGTTCGATAAGGACTCCACTCCCACCGTTCCATTTGTAGCCGAAATTGATATCGGCTGCATAACCTGACTGATGTTAAAAATCTCAATTAATTTTAAAGCACATACTGAGCTTCAGGATGCGTTTCTAATTATTTGATAACAACGATAAACAAATTCACGAGGACAATAATTATGGATGTTCGTACAAGCAAGATATTCTCAATCTTTCCTTTTGACCCTTTTGCCCAACAAAATAATTCACATATATTTCTGCATTCATCAAAATATTGCTCTTTGGTACATTTTATCACTGAAAAATTCCTTTATCGTTGATCATTTACACATAGCTTTCCTGAATTAAGAAGCTTTTAGTATGGTAGTTATCCTGAAAATATTTTGAAATTTAGATAAATTGTATAATATGTTTAGATAAACTTTTTAATACGTTTTTTTTTCATTAAATTTCAGAATATTTGATTATAGAGGAATTAGTGTTATGAATCCCTAGTACCAAAGACATGATAAACGAAGGTATAATTTTTCTCTATTTCAGAGCAGAGAATTCAGGTATTTAGGATACAACTTTGCAAAATTTGTGACGTGATAAGAAATAACATATGCTTAAAAATTGCTTTATAAAGACAACACTTCTAAAGAATCCAGTGTCTCCGATGTTTTATACATGTGCAATGAATTTATAATCTTATTTTCAATTAAAAAATTACCTTTTAATTGTTTTATTATATAAATTGTTTATATTTTCAAAATTATTTAGTCTGTCAATTGATTCATGTATTGTCTCCAACTTAACGCAAGTGTGCAAAATTTCAGATCTATTGGAGAGGTAAAAGTGTGTTAAATATCGATTATTAGATTTGTAGCAGACAAACATACAAACAAACAACAATAAGTGAATTTAAAGAGAAGTGTTGTAAAAGTAACCAAAGATAAAGAGCACTACGAACTATCAAAATGTCACTACCTGTTAGAAGGCGAGTAGAAAAGCCAGCAATGTTATGTGTCGTGATGTCAGCGTTCATCGTAAGCCTTTTCCTACTGTATAATCCCGCTGCTGATAGAGTCTTCAATTTAGTTCTCGAGCACAGACAAAATTATGACAAAACTCTCTTTGGGATCAACACTCAATGTGAGAAATGAGAGCATTAGCCCTATGAAATGAGCATGTATTCATTTAATAACGTTAAACGAACTAATTTCGTAATGAAAACATTTCATTCAACAAATTATTTTGATGTAGGCCAATAATATTTACTGATTTGATGAATTAGTTTGTATAAATTGAACGTTAATGAGATTCCATGACTTCCGGCTCGGGAGAAGTAACGACAACCAAGCCTATCTCATAGCGCACAGTGATCATTTTTTACACAAATTGGAGGAATGCAACAAAATGACAAGTATTTTTTATCTTCTATTCGATGAACATGCAACGATGAAAAATTCGTAACACTAAAAAATAAAATTGCAGGAGCGAATGTGTTTCGAATTGAAAAATGAGTGATAATTAACTATCGATTGTTCACGATGGTCAAGCAAGATGATCATTTTAAATTTGGTAATTCGTAGAAGAGTTGAACAAATGCCGGTAGGTAGTTTCCTAACGTCATTATTATTTTGAAAATAGTATCTTTAAAAATAGGATATTATAGTCATCTTTAAAAAATAGTATGGTAATAGTATCTTTAAATTGATTATGAAACTGAGAATATCAAGGGCGTGCTACAAAATATCGAATTCTTTTTAGCTCTGAACTCAGAAGAGACTCGGTCGGACGATCGACGCCTGATCGACATCATCCGTAAACTCTACCTGACGCCGGCCTCCGCTGAGCCGTACGCGTTTGCAGCAGCGTCGCTTCCTTCCGATGGCCAGGCAACAATTGTCGACAAATTTTTCAAACAAAAGGTGACATAAAACCGAAGTTGCTTGGAATCGTGAAGAGTCTAGCATTAGTTGTCGATTTCAATTTAATAGTGTTAATCTGTCGCTTAAAAACATTTTAAAGTTTTATTCAAATTAACTAACAGTGCAGGGGCTCAGCTGCGGGCAACAAATTTATCACTTAAATAGGCTTGGAGCCAACACCCAGCCTCTGCATGCAATAACTACACCTGTCCTTAGAGATAGTAGCCATAGACTACACTAGAACACCGTACTTGTGACTGTTTACACTGTTTATAGATAATAGCGCCGCAAGTCTCCAGCCCTGATAATTACACTTGGAAAGGAATATGAACTAAAGTGTGAAGTTAGGCAAAGCTAGAGTTCAGTATGCACTCCGAATCCTCATTAGGTAAATCTTCTCGTGTCACTCTACACAAATTACTACACCGCGCTTACAGACGCACGGGGTGACGACGAAAATAAGACATACCTTTGTTCTATCACACCGTTGCAGACACACGGGGTGACAACGATAATTAAGACATACCCTTGTTCTATCACACCGTTGCAGACACACGGGGTGACGACGATAATAAGACATACCCTTGTTCTACCACATCGTTGCAGACACACGGGGTGTTCGTCGAGTGCGGCGCCTACGACGGCGAGTTTCTCTCGAATACGTTATTCCTGGAACGCTTCCGGGTCTGGACGGGCTTGCTGATAGAGCCCGAGCCCAGCAGCTTCGAGGCTTTGAAAAAACGGCATCGCAAGGCCTTAATTGCTAACTCTTGTCTCTCTAGTAAACCACATCCAAGTGAGGTCAGAATTCATAGATTTCCGACTTGCTCTGAGTTGTTGGATTCCCGAGTTTCAGGCATCAGTTTTAATAAACGTATACAATATATGACTCATGAATACACCTGCTGAAAAAAGATTTCATGAGCAGAAACGTTACTGTGAAACTCCGCGAAAAAAAATTTGAAATTCTTATTCTGTTCCACAGTTTGTCCTACGACAAGATAGGGCCCTGAGCGAGATCCTGGACGTCAAAAACATAAGTTACCATCTCGAGACTGGCGGAACTGGGGACGTGAGCTACAAGATAGTGCAATGCTTCCCCTTCTACTCTTTCTTACTGGCCGCCAACATCACCACCGTCGATTACTTCAGCCTCGATGTTGAGGGGCAGGAATTCAATGTGCTCAAGACGATCCCGTGGCACCAAGTTGATATCAAGGTGAGGGATGACGCTGTTCCGGACAAGAAATAGGAATCTAGTTATCGCTGATTGCGATATAAATTAGATTTTGAGATGGTCAAAAAGATCCCGTTGCACCCACTCTATACAATGGTGACTATGGAACGTACGTCAATCAAAGCACATCCATCATCCAAAATTCATGTAACTACTATTAGTTCAAGTTTCGCGTGATGAATAACTGTTAAGTGGTTTTTGAAGGAATACAAATTGATAATTACGATCAACATAATTATTTTTGTGACGTTCCTCCGGGAGCTTGCTTGCTCACGTACTTCAGATATGTTGTCAACAAAATGGCGTTTATGACGTTCACAACATAAATTTTGGATACCTCCGGACTTCAGCATTTAGTGGAACCTAGTGTTCACATCAGCCTTACAATCTTTAGCGAGGTACCAGTAAGATTTATCCAGCAAATCATCAAGGTGACGAGGGAGTATGCAACAATTAAATGTCCTGCGGTTGCAGGGTGGCCCAGTTCTTGCAACTCAGAGTACCAAGATTGGAGCAGTAATTTGTGGGTTTGATCCAAGGTTCCTGCGACATTTTTGGTCAAAATCAGCGAGGGGACCAAGCGATTAAGCACAGCAAACTTTGAGCGGCGATTTGCGTGTTTGAGACCCCCAATACGATGTGAAAATTATGCGATATTCAGAATCAGCGGCAGGTTATTTCGGCAGTTACTGATGCCAGATTTGCTTATCGACACTTTTCCACGTCGATAGATAATTCATGAACTGATGTCACAACTGATCCTTGCACTAAGTTTGTATTGCATAACTTAGATTTTTACCGATCTTTCACTTAGAATTCATCACTGCTATATCTCAGAGCAAAGCTTCAAACTTGTTAGAATTTTTCATCAATATAAGTATGGGCATTCTTTGTAAGTTGCTAAGCTACTGTTGCTTGTTGGAACATACCGTTTTCATTTGTGATAATTATTTTTGAGAATGATCGTACGAAACTGCTTATTCATGATTTTTTCGTGAAATTTTATTTTTCTTGCAACGTTATCATTGTTTTCAGTTTACCGACGCTGCTCACGGAAATAAATTTGAATCCCCATAAGATTTTAATTACCGAACAAATGATCCTAGAACTCGGTTGAAAGTGCGAGGAGATTGAACTCCGCAAGTTAATCGAGACAAGTTAAATGATTATGAATTAATTAAAATAACGGTGCAGTGATATCAAGAGTATTTCCATAACATCTGGTAATAGTTGACCGTTTTGTATAAATATGTGACTCAAGTAAATGTTTGAAGCAAACGGAATTGTCTCTCACAGATTTGTTAGCTTGCAACACTGCTGAAAAATCAATAGGTATGAATTTATACATTCATAATTGTCCAATCTGAAAATTTTTATATAATGTATGAATGTTTGTAACTTTCTTTGTTTCGACCTTCCATGCGTCCTATATTTTAGTAATGCGGTATTAAACCTTAAATTTCCGTACTACAGATTCTTATTCACGTAAATCGTTTGACTCTTTGCCAGCCCATATTTTGTTGAAAACATGTAAATCATAAAAGTTTATTAAAGCTTTGGTTGATGGGGCATAACACATGGCATATGTACCACCAGCTTGCTGTCTTCTTTGAAAAACGCGCTTGCAATAAACTCTACAAGCCGTCGTTTCCTGAGCAGAAAACATATATCTGCGGTAACCGAAAGTAATTATTTTAAGGTGCCTCTTAAACGGTCTCTTAAACTATATTGTTATCAATATACACGAGACCTCTTATAAGATATATTATATTCCGAGTGTAAACTTTTGCCGTTGAGTTAAAGATTTTCAAAATGTTTTAAATGTGGGAATTAACGCCATGTGAAACTGATGGCTTTGTATAGAACCAGTGTGTAAGATATTGATATGCATCAATTGCATAAAATTTAGAAGACTTTGCTTGCAGCTTTTTTCCTCTTGTGCATCGATTAAAACGCATTCAGATTTAGTCCAAGCTAAATTATCAAATAAAGAGATGTTGGGATAGCTTAATTTAATGTACGTATGTCAGAGCGAAAAAATATCATGTGAGAAAGACTAATACCGAATAAATGTACCACTAATTCTCCCAAAGCCTATATATTCAAAATCATTGAATTAAAATTGTGGTTCGCGTGAAATAAATAAATTCGCTTGGTTCTAAATAAATGAAATGTTATATCTCCTATAGTGTGATAGTGGAGAACCTTCAATTCGGGGCCCGAATACTGTCGTCTCAAACGGGCGCCAGACTCTCCCTGGATGCTGTATATCAGAAGCTAGTAACAAAAAAATTTTACTGGTAGCCTGGTTCAAAAATGTTGTGATCAAAATGTTTTCCTCACATGTTTGTGGAATACCCCATAAATAATAGCACAAATGGGTGAAATAGTGATAAAACTAACTCGATAGCCGGTGATTCAGATCCATTGATACCAATCATACCATCAATATGAAATTGCGAACAATTTATAAATCTACAAGAATAGTTAGGCTATTCTTCGGCGTCACGTTTATGATGTCCATGTTGGGCGTATATCTCCTAAATTATTCCGCTTGGTACGATGGCTCTTCTGTGATTGAACAAGATTCGGATTCCGACAAACTTCTCGATAAAATCAGTATTCAAGGTAAGAACTCAGCATCAACGAGTCGTGTTACATTCAAACTACGTCATTAATAAAAATTAGCACATGATATGCATAAATGTACCATAACAAATTGTTTGCGTGATTGGCCCAATTGGTTGTGCTAAATCATAATTATAACACCACTCGCGATTTGGCTTAAGTGGGTAACTGTAGACATGCCAGATCTCACTGCAATGTTGATTCAACCCAAGTAACCCTGAGTTGGTTGGTCATGGGAGCGTGTTCTGTTCATTGAATCTCGTATAAAATTTTGTCAAATCCACAATTTAGGGATTACGCAGAAAATACGCGACAGAGCTCTTATATGCCTGGATGCACAGATCCTGGCTGTCTTAGTCATGAAATTCGATGACTCTTCAATGAAGTTTTGATCGACGTTTCAGTAACCTTCCTAACTCGCTAGGATTGCATCTAGAATTATCGTACACTCTTCTCTGCTGCGACCACAGATAAAGTCGGTTTTCTATACCGCAAATGACTGCTTTGTCGTCATCCTGAAATGGTGTTGCGGTGTTATTATTTTTTTTTTCAGATTTAAACTCGGAGAAGACTCGGTCGGACGATCCCATCCTGATCGATATCATCCGTAAACGTTTCCTAACGCCAGCCTCCACAGAGCCGTACGCGCTCTCAGAGCACACAGTACAATCTGAAGGCCAAACGAAAATTGTCGACGAGTTTTTCAAACAAAAGGTGACCTAATTTAGCTAACTTTACGCACTAATCTCGTACATGATGCTTGAAATTCCAAATTTGATTTTGTACAAAATTCTGCATTCGCTTGAATAAAAGTTCTTAGTCCGGAGCATAGCAATATTAGGAACACAAAAGTTGGATTTATTCTAAAATTTGGAGAGAAGAATATGTCCAGTGAGATAACGTGAAAGTAAAGAAGTTCGCACTCCTACTGCGTTGTATGGGTGGGACGCACATACCTACCATAGTTCTACCACACTGCCGCCGACACATGGGGTGGAGAGTGGAGAAGTATACAAGAAATAACCTTGTAATACCACACCGTTGCAGACACACGGGGTGTTCGTCGAGTGCGGCGCCTACGACGGCGAGTTTCTCTCGAATACGTTATTCCTGGAACGCTTCCGGGCCTGGACGGGCTTGCTGATAGAGCCCGAGCCTGACAACTTCGAGGCTTTAAAGAAACGGCATCGCAAGGCCATCATCTCAAATGCTTGTCTATCCAGTAAACCCCATCCAAGTGAGGTCAGTTTATTGACAATTCCCTGTGTGCTTGTCTCTTGAAATTCGAGATGTCCAAGTTCTCTGGTCATTTCTTTACCCTTAACCTTCTTGAGTACTTATAAAATGATATGGTCGAATCTGGGCGGAACAACAAATACGAATAACTTTTGCATCCGAGTGAGGTAAGGATTTGTCGTATTTTACGAATTTGCTGCCGAGTTGCTGGACTGAAGACTCTTGCGTAATCGTAACGAAGTGAATTGCGATATTAACAACATTAGTCAACATATATAATAAAATATACATGCGTGATATAAGAATAAAAACGTAACGATCCTATGTTTAGTTATGAATGTATTAGAAATCACCTCAGTGCATCCCTTCAGGCCATCATGCGACAGGAAAACTTCATGAGTGAGACTCAGGACGCAGAAAACTTGATTCATGACCACGTATCGGGTCACGATAACTACAAGATCGTGCAATGCTTCCCTTTCTACTCCATTTTACTGGCCGCCAACATCACCACCATCGACTACTTCAGCCTCGACGTTGAGGGACAGGAATTTAATGTACTCAAGACGATCCCGTGGCATCGAGTCGATATCAAGGTGAGAGATGACGCAGATTATGGGATCTTGGCATCAAATATAAATCAAGATGGCTTTCGTTCAGATGTGACAAGATGCAAATTTTGAGATAAGCGGTCACATGAAATTCGGAAGTCTTTGGGGTAGATGTAGGATTTAAGCCTCTTAGTGCTGTAGATTGCAAGGTGATATCGATTGGTTTGAAATTTCAGTGCTTAATGAATAGTCATTGTCCCCAAAAATAGGTTGTGTGTGCGCATTTTATGTTATAAATGTTCAATTTGAAAAACCTGGACCCTTTGACGATCACGCCTCCGTAATAAGTTCATTGCGTCGATGCATCACGCAGGATTCTATGAATAATTATAATCTACAATATCTCAATGAATTTTGTACATAGACAAATTATTTGAATCGTATAAGGTTAGGCTTTGAGGACTTGTAAATGATTCAGTTTGTTGCATTTCGTACAGATAACTGCGGGGAAGAAGCCCAGTGTCATCTGTAAGGAAAATATCTATGTAAGAAAATGATGATTGATGAGAGCTCTGAAGAGTCTGATTGATAACAGCAGCAAATACAAGTAAATTCATCCGAAACAAAACCAAGTGTTATAAGTGAGCAGTGTTTTCTCAAAGAGTCTTCTCACAGTCATCGTTGATTGACAAAGTCATCGAGACTACAAAATTGTGAATCTAGCCTCTCTCATTCATCACATTGCTGATGTCTCAACTACCAAATGATACTTGTACAGTTGTACCAAATCGCTTTCATTCTTAGTAGTCGCTGTACTCTAATAGAAACTATAGATCTTATAAGGTATAAACAAACCTCCTATTCCTACTTGCATGTACCTCTTAGTTGAGGGCACGAACTCAATGCTGTTGCATTACTATTGCGACTCGACGGACTCGTAGCTAGCGGTGATCTACGTAGAATCTAGGTAGATTCTATAGTCTAGACTCTAGACGAATCTGATTTATATGAACCGTTGGTGACCGATCTATAAGTTCCCATCAAGGCAACAAGAGCCAAAAAAAAAAAAACATTGGTGCGTTCCAGAGTATTCCTGTATGATTTTGTAGCGCAAATCTTTCTGCAGGTAATTTCCGTGGAGTACAAGCACGTCAAGGAAGGCAAGATGGGCGTAAACTCCTTCATGGAGGACGTTGGTTACCATGCGTATGGGGAAGTTTCCGACGTCTCCGGTGCTTTCATCGACACGGTCTACGTCAGGCAAGACCTTCTCAGTAGATGAGGTCCCGCGCACTTGGCAGATTGGTCACTCGGTCATCGCAAAAATTGGTCAGATTGTACAATTATCGATGCACTTTTTTGCTTTTATCTTGGTCCAACTGACCCAGTTTCTACTTGCGAAAAGGAGTTTCAGTATGAAGTGCATAAATTGTGTTACAATTTGGACAATATTACCCATTCATTTGTATGTAGGAAGATCACGTGGTGGGTGGGCGGCAGTTTATGTCATTTTACACTTTAATGATGTGACATAATGTAGATTTCATGGACCTGCATAATTTTTGTGATAGAACGCTAATGTTATTGGTTCACGTAATACAACATCATAACTTAAGGAAAGATTACTTGTGTCTGGGAAGCTTTCCATCGAGTCGATTACAACATAGAACTGAGGAATCCGACTATTTTTCGCTAAAAGTTTGTATGAAGTATGATCGACCATGGATTAAAACGCAATTTGGCTTTATGCTCATGAATTTGAAGCTATCTGTGCGTATATGAGAGAAAATTTGATTATTTTACATTTATATTGAGGTCTCTTGCCTCGAAACTTTGTACCTGTTTACAGTGAAGCAACCTCCAGACCTAACCAGAGCTGGGCAGCGCTACTTTGAAATGTAGCGGCCGCTACAGCTACATGCTCTAAATGTAGCGGGCGCTACCGCTACAATTGCTTAAATGGAGCGCCGCTAACGCTCCTGAAAATGTAGAGCCGCGATATGTAGCGCGATACTGCCCACCTCTGGACCTAACATAAAACACAACTGTTACGGAAATTGTTCTGCAGTTAGTATTGTTTTTGCGCCATTATAAGGCTATGAAGGCTTACCAATTGTAATTGTGGCGTCAGCGATGAATAGGCGAATTTTGGTTTCGACCGATCTTATAAATCGAAAAATTCTTATAGTTCGCTGGGGTTTCGAACCCACGGCTCACTGCTCCAATCTTGCTATTCTCAACCACCTGGACACCTAGCAATGTTCATCAGATCCGGTACAAGAAGCCACGATTGAACTCGTATTTTAATGCTCCTATCCAGGTACAGAGAACTGAAGATCTGGGACACTCTGCCTGTGCATAAACTGCTGCAAATATTTCAGAATATTTACCAGATGACAGGACAGTTCGATAACGACAGGTGCTTCTGTCGTTATTAAATGAAGGTCTGGGTGACCAGGGTGATGTATATAAAAAAAGAAGGTAAATGGAACTCCCGCATCGAAGCCATCAATCCATTTTACACAAATTTTTTTGCGAGGTAAAAATAATATGCTGTCGCTGAAGTCTCTAAGCAAGAACCAAGAAAAAAAGTCGTATGTTGCCCAAGCTCTATTACGAAAACTTTTAATAACCGAACCTTACAACAATCTTAGGGTAGGAGCCAAATCAGCTGTATTTTCTTAACCCAATTTAAAACAGAATAAATTTTAAAATTAGTTTTTCTTAATAGTACCGTAAAGGATAATGTTTACATTCGTAAAATTATATGAACCAATTTTTACTCAAAAGACGAGAGGAAATTTAGCTCGTCAAAAAAGGTTAGATGAAATTCACATAACAAATCTCAATGGACATGTCCGTGTTGTTTTAGAATATTTTTTGGCAACTTGTACAGTATTTAATCTTAGTTATAGAACTATTGGTAACATCAATTATTCCAGCACGAAAAATTGCAATTTTAAAACAGGGAGAAATAAAATGTGCTTCATTAAATTTTCATAAAAATTAAAAGAATCGTGAATGTTTCATTGGACGCCGTAGTTGTTCCTGATGCAAGATTATCCCGATCGTCTAGACGAGCTACGATACGAATGATACAAAAGGATTTTCAGACATATTAATGGAACATAATTGACGCCATATCATTCGACATCTATAAGGACCTTAAAGATTTTGCATCAAGTTGAAATTGGTAGCCACGCATATTTGAAACAGATTCAACCGTTTTTCTGCTGCTATTTTAAAATTACTGTTTTAACCATCAGAACGGTTGGCAGCGATATGCCGCCTGCAGACTAAGGATTAATGCTTTGAAATTGATTTTGTCGTCAATTTGCAAAAAAATATTATTAGTAGTAGTAGGGTTCACTCGCGTTTTAGTATCTCAGCTATATAATTCCATAAGTCAAGAAATAATATCCCCAGCAAGGCGGACGGTGGCAATTATTGAACATTTGTTTTCTCATCAGTTCATCACCTACAATAGGCGGTCTCGTGTGACCAGCCCGCTGAAGCTGGCTCGAAAGAAGCAGCGTTAGCATCTCAATGAGACGAAATGACAAGGAGGGACAGGTGAAAAGCAAAAGAAACGAAGACACTCAAGCAAGCGGTCGTTTACATGAGACATTGGCTGTCTGCACTAGAGAAATGCCCTGCATATATAACAATTGACTCCACAACTAAATCCCCCACTCAGGCACTGCAAGCTTTATGATGGGCGTTCAGAGCCTCACGGTGCCACCACCTGCTCCTCAGAGCCTCACGGCGCCACCACCTGCTCCCTCAGAGCCTCATGGTGCCACCACCTGCTCCTTCAGAGCCTCACGGTGCCACCACCTGCTCCTTCAGAGCCTCACGGCGCCACGACCTGCTCCCTCAGAGCCTTACAGTGCCACCACCTGCTCCATCAGAGCCTCACGGTGCCACCACCTGCTCCTTCAGAGCCTCACGGTGCCACCACCTGCTCCCTCAGAGCCTCACGGTGGGCCTCAGTGACCCGGAAGAGAGGCCCGTGGCCAGGCACGATGTGGTTGGCAAACTCGGCAACGTTGCAGCGATGTCGTCTCTGCAGCGCCTCGTCTTCTGAACCTGCGTCGCGCCACAGTGTAGGATTCAAGATGTCTTCCTCGCGCTCAAATAGATCACCTGATGAAATAACGTACGTCAGAAAATCATTGGCAAAATAAGTTTATATGTGTCAACTGAAGGAAGGGGATATGCCATAGGTTTTTGACAAAACTCGATGGATTGATGATGCAAGGCATCAAGTCTCTACAAATGTAACCTGGAACTCTATGACATTAATATCATTAAATATCAAGTTAATGTTTTTGATTGAAAGGATATTGCTACTTCCATCTGAAGAAAATGTGGAAAGAGTGTAATTTCTTAGTCTGAGCCACAATATTTAATAACATGCTAATATTTTAATTATAGGGCAAGGTAGGTGAATGAATGAATATTGGGTAAATGATTGGTGATTGGCAGAGATATGAGTATGTAGTCTCAAGCAAAATTTGGAGGGTATGGTGGGCCATATTTCAATGGACTCTAAGTGACCGTATATGGTAAATTGCCCACTAAAGGGTTAATATATTTGAAATTTGTGGTTTATTAGGAAGAAACCTTATTGAATTTTTTCACTAAGAAATGCCTAAGTCAACAGTCTCCAAGACTGTTGACTTGATTCCATTTGTCCATGTTTTTAAATTGGCAGAATATTGTGTAATGTTCATACTTAAAATAAAAAATGTTACCATTATTGGGAAGGAAGATTATGCAATGTGCAAATTCATTTTTTAATTGAAGAATAAAATAAATTATGATCGGTTAGAAAAAATTTTTTAGAAGATAACTCCCTCCATTTTTATATGACACAGTTATCTTTGAACAACATCATTACGTACAACACTGCTTAATGCACATTACAGCTACACACACACAACACAACTGTACACAGAACACAGTTACACATGAAGAACAATCACACTCTGTCTAGCCACACACGAAATAATAGTAAACCAAAATACAGCCGTAAATACATAATACAGCTACATATATCTGACCACAAAATCACAACTAAAGACCCAAAAACTGATAGTAGAACAAAATGCATAGAAACACAAAAATTAGAGAACAGCACATATCACAACAATGCAGAGAGTGAAGTAACACACCAGCAACGACAACAATGCAGAGAGTAAAGTAACACACCAACAATGACAACAATGCAGAGAGTAAAGTAACACACCAGCAACGACAACAATGCAGAGAGTGAAGTAACACACCAGCAATGACAACAATGCAGAGAGTAAAGTAACACACCAGCAATGACAACAATGCCAAGGTTTTCCGAGTTGACTCTGACGCTGACATGCTCCCGTGTGTGGCCTGGAGTGGGCAACACGCTGATGTGGGGTGTCAAGTGGTAGGCTTCACCTGCCCATCGAGAAGTGCACCCGTTCACAAGCCTGCTTTATGTCATCCAACCTCTGTAAGATATACAACTTTAATTTCATGCAACATAACTTATAAACGTTACATAAATACAACCATATTACTGAATATTTTTAAATTATATGATGCAACATAATTTATACCTAAACTTTACATAAATAAAACCATATATAACTAAATATTTTTTAAATTATATGAATTTGAAAAATCAATCAAATTAATTCTTATTATTAATCAATAAAATATCTTCCAGTAATTAGTACCTAACACATATATATATACATTGATGATTGAGTCACCATCTTATTAACCCACATTTTCATATTGAAGATATTAGGTTGAATGATAAAGTATTTTTCAATTATTACTTTGCTTGAATGAATTGTAAATAGCAATTGGAAAGGGAATGAATATTAGAGCATAAGGAAATTATACATATTCCTATGTAATTAAAGAGAGTGATCTATTGAATTATCAGTTCTTTCTGTAATGCTTCTGTAGAATGGAATCAATGGATAACAATAGAGAAAACTTACTTGGAAAATTCATATACAAGAACTATATAAGAATTTATTATATTTATTTTTAATAACAGCACCTGTGTCAAATGGATGCAGGTAAAATGCATCTCTACAAGACACAGTGTAGCTCACAATGTGCTGAACAGCCTTGGTGAAGAGGTTGTGGTTGCCTACATGGTCGCTGTGTCCATGTGTTGCTATGGCATATGAAACATCATCTGGTCCCACTTGATGCTTCTCCAGGCCTGTTCCAAAAAAAAGTACGTAGAGATGATACCTGTGGTCAGAAAATCGCAGACAAATCTTGCAGTCATACAAATACTTTGAGAAACATTTGCTGTTATTTGCATTGTCTTATGACTAGCTAACAGGTATGAATTGTGACAATTCAGATTTCCATGCTCTGAATCCATAAAAAACTTTATTTTCCTGATAGAACATCAGTTTTTTTTAATTTATGACTGACATTGATTAAAAATAGAAATAGCTGTTAGTTAAAATGAAATGGGCAGTTGAAAATTTGAACAACTAATTTAGAATATTTTTTCAAAGAAGTTAGGTACACCCTCAGAAGGGAAAATGGAAGTACCTTAGTTAGTAGTTAGTACCAGTGTATTTGAGTTGAACCATAAAATTTTCCAATACCTTCATACTACCTCTTTATTCCAATAGGTAGTATTTTTGTAGGAACAAATTTTTCATATTATCACTATTATTCTACAAATTGGTTATTGGGCATCTGGTTGAAACAAACTTTGAGGGCACATTACATTACATGATTACAGTGACCCCTGACCAGGCTGGAATCCTAGTCTAGTCTAGACACCTTGAGGCTGAGCCTTGAGGGGTATTAAATGAGGGGCAATGATTACAGAATTTACAGAACACATAAGTGATAAGTTTAATCATGAAATAATAGTTAATTTATAGTTATTTAATAGTGTAGTCTGTACTCTGTAGTGTAATACCCTAATTGCCATTTTTGCCAATAATACACACAGGATGAGACTAGGTACTATGACTATCACTATGAGTTAGTATAAGTTGGTCTTGAGCAAGCAATTTTCTCTGCATGGTCTACGACAGTACTCTACGTTGACAATATGAACAAAATTAGTAACTAGCCTAGGTAAGGTAAAGTAACTGCAGTGAAATGAGCATTAACTTTTCTAAATATTTTACCTTTCAAAATATTATCCTTATCCCATGCAGTCATGGTATCTACAATTACAATATGTTCTCCTTTGATTAGAACACATGAGCAGTTTGCTTTCATAGTTCCATTTTCCAAGTAGGAATACCCATCGTAAAGCACATCAACTCTAGGCAGAGCTACATCTGAATGATCTGATTCATCTCGATCAACTCTTTCCTCCATTTTTATTTGAACTTGGAGCACCTGACGAAAAAGTTATTGAACATTAATTTGAATTTACGAACTCACGATAAAACACAGATCAAATACGAATCGAACTGATGCTCTGTACAAAAGTTTGCCGGACGTTAACAATCAGCTAAGTAAGCACCACTATTTTACTCAGACGCTCTCATAGCCTACTCGTCGATGTCGTATGATGGTGACATCGTACCCTGAGTAGAACCCCGACTCCTTGTAACGCTTGCTCATTTCCTCTGCTGGCGCTGGGCCTTCACTTCTCACTCAGTTCTCAGTCAGTGTGCTCCGTGAGATTGTGGGGTGATGATCACGCGTTTCTGTACTGTGCGGTGTCACGCTCCCTCTACTGTAGTTTTTATCTTTCGTTGAATACTTTGGAGAATTAAGATTTGTTTGTCAATTTAACAGATCGTTGAATTTACAGTCGACGATGGCCTGTCAGGAGAAGCTCATCACTAGGAAATGAGGTAACCTTGAGCTCTTGCCCAACTTAGTAACCATCTTTTATACTTTATAGAAAGCTCAAGAAATGAATTGCAAAATTGGATTAGTATAAGTTATAACGACTATTTAGACCCTTTTAATTTCATATGGATTGTTCTGATTGTTTTCTGCGCATATCACGAAGAAAATGAATAACAATAAAATGGACATTGATTGTCGTATAAAATTAATCTATTTTTTAATTTTTCGAGCCTGAATGGAGTTAGAAATGATTGATTTGAAATTCTTAGGGTCTTTTTGGATTTTGTAAATCGCAACAGCAGTTGAAGGTCAAACAATCGAATGTCAATTTCGAGGAATCTTATCACGACCATGGAATCTTATGCAGCATGCTTAATTAATAGCTAATACGGTAATACCAAACAACGTTTGGTAATCGAGAGAACGACCATTGCAGACTTCATCAGATAAATAAATTTCGAATTTGAGTGATATAATATCACTTAAATTCTTCTTCGGTGAAACCTTCTACAATGATTTATCCGCCTAATGATTTTTAGTGATAGTCGTTCTATCATCGGCAAGCTTTGTGGATTTTTGCATGAAAGCAAAATCCTATCCAAAATGAAGAGATGGCCATCTTCATTCGTAGTAAACTAACTTTTGACAGCTCATTTTATGATTTATCCGTACGGTCTTGCTGTCATGGTCTTAAATTGTCATCCGAACTATCTCTCAAGATATTATTTTTACATGGGAGCGAGACAAAAATTCGGAAAGTGGTAACGAATCGAGCCCAAGGACGTCCACGTATGAATAGAAGTGTCGGCGCTGAAGAAATAGGCCCATGGCCGGATTAAATCTTTCATTCTTACATCTTTGTAGACTCTAAAAATGTTTCGACGTTCAGTACGTACGTTAATTTTTCATTGATATTTGTGTCGCTGCCGATCATAGTTCATAGTCTGGATTGTACATGCAATTTTGCTGCACTTGTGCTCAAATTAAGGTTTTTATATTCATTAAGAAAAATAGCAACGACTTAACCCATCAAAAAAGTTCGAAAGCTTTGTTAATTTTTTCCTTCGCTCCAGTCGAGTCATTCATTATCAAAACAGAGCAGAAACATTTTATTAAATTCTTCACGCTATAATTTGAATTTTCCGCAAAATAGTTTCAGTAGCACAAAACTATTTACTCGCTTCGCTTCCTTTCACAGCGAAAAATCCTAGCTACTGAACTACTGTTACTGAATTCGAAAAATTATATTACTGTTTTCGATGCTTTGCACAAATAAATAACGAAGGAATCATCTTTTGTAGCGCCAAACTTACCGCTTTTTTAACTAAGCGAATTAAAGCAAAGTTGTTGCTCTGAATTCGTAAATCAATGGCATTTTTTTATCAGCTTGGTAATGAGTTGTTTAAACGCACTACCATTCACAACATATTAGGCTAATGGGTTAACTACCATGATTACTATATTATCAGTACGGTACATGATTTTCTTGCAACAAAAACATTATTTACCGACATGTGCGACTCTGCGTTGACAAAAACAAACATTGACCAATATTCCTAGAGTTAAAAAATTACAGGGAAAATGTTTAGAGAATTCTTGGGTTGAAATTAATAATTTCTAAATGAATGCGCAAATTTAAAACCCGTTCCAATGATGAAAAGTTAAAGTATAGAAATCGAATAAAATTTAATAGTTTTATGACATCGAGATTTTGATTGAAATTTCTTGCTTTAGTTTCAAATTTTCTGATTTCCAGTTTATGCATGTGTGCTTCAAAGGTTTACATGGAACTAAGACTCATTCAGATTTTCTTTTCTCTCTTATCTTTGTTTCTTTGCCATTGAGGGATTGTCATTATTTTTGCGCAACTGTATGCGTGTAAGTGATGTTACAATCTAATATTCTGATCACAGATTAATTTCAGTATTATAAAAAATGTGAAATTTATTTTCGAGTAGGTATGTTCGTGGACATCTTTGATTCGATTCACCTTGCAGTTGTCGACTTTTGCGTATCAACAATTGAGCAAAGTTATAGAATAGAATAGAAGTGTCGGCATTGAAGAAATAGGCCCAAGGCCTGTTGCCGATTCTTTTACTTTTAAAACTTTTCGCCAATTGTTAGAAGGTGTTGAAATTTTTTAACTTTTGTCTTCTCATTTATCAGCTAGTGTATACCGAGAAAAATGAATTTTTAGAATGATTCTTCTTGTTTGGTTTCTTTGTAGTTATCCTCCGTTTTAGGCACCAGCCCGTACTACTCGTGCATTCCGAAAGTGACCTCGACCGCAGCCACGAGTGCAAGTTTGTGTGTTGTGTGAGTGTGAGCTGTGTGATATATAAGTATGAGTTGTGTGATTGTGTTGCATGTGTGTTGTATGGATTCTTGTTAAGTTTTCTTCTTGGTAACATAAACGTAATTTATTACGTGAAGGCCCTACGTGATTCTGAGAAATATTTTTTTCATCATAATTATAGTCGGTATAAAATCACTCCTGCCAGTATTTTTAACTAATTTCATGCAGCGTCGATATAAACCTAAATTTTACGTCGATATATTAATCCACCGTTATCATTGTTAGGCGGAAAATCATATTTTTAAGTGGATTATTTTTTCCAAGAACATATAACCTTCATTATTTTACGACTATAACCTTAAAGATTGAACGGATAGTATGGTGCCACGATACAGCGGTAACATAATGTGTTGTTAGAGGAACTAGCGTTCGTATTGTAAGTAAATAAATGTGATGAATCTCCTCAAACAAAGGCTTTACTTTGAATAGTGAGAATAGTCAGTCCCTGTATGCACACAGTTCCAGCCGACGGAAATATCGATCCCGCCATGCTTCAGGCCTTGGATCCCGCCATGCTTCAGGCCTTGGAAGAAACATTGACTGGCCTATCAGAGGCTGCTGGATTGGCGAAGGTTGCCATTCATATTTGTGATTTTGTGTTTAACTTTTAAGTGAAATTTTGTGGAAAATTTTCTTGCATGCAGCGAGGTAAGTTTGCGCTCGCAAATCTTATGCCAAAGCCCAACTTAGAGCTTCGGTTACACGTATAATCTTATGGAGCTGACTGACCGGGAATTTGTCCATGCACGTTTGAATTCTAGAAAGTTATAAAAAGTCTACTAGCTTGTGAAAACTTCCTTAAAACGCTGCTAATTTGTCCGAGTGGTAGAACTTGGTTGAGTTTATCAAGTTCTGTATAGGTAGTAGTATTGTGAACAGATTCTTTTCCATTGGCTCTTCTTTTGCAGCCAACCTCCTGCAAGTTGCGTACCGTATGCGGCTAGACTGTTCAATTAAGGCGCATGGGGCATTCTCTTATACCCGCATGCTGCATCTCAACTGAGTTCAATACTGCTCAGCTGGGTGACGAATGTGTAATATTTGTATGAACCTGTATAATACCTATATGTATTGAGCCTCTAACACGCTATCAATGGTTACTATATATCAGTCGTGTTGATAACAGAACAACAGTTATTCAAAACCTGTTAGCTGGTCTGCCGTCACTCTAAACGAGAATCTCTGAACGACCGTTGAGTACCAAGAATAAAATTTGTTCTATAATTTAAGAAAATCGATTGTAATTTATTACGAAGAAAACGCCACTGTGACACTATAACCATTTGATCTGAGTTAAGAATTGCAATTAATTTTACGTATGTTTTAATTTATTTATCCATCGTCTATTGACCACTATTCAGATGTCAACGTTAAGTTTAAATTCGGGTATTCTCTGTTTAATTTATGTTGAACATCTAAATTTTATATGAGCACCAGCAGTCACTCAAGGAAAGAAATAGTCAGAATTGAAAAAAATATACACAATACTTGCTCTGAGTGCATGAATATGAAATGTTTTAAAGTGCAATGGTCCTACGGCTAGCTGTTGTTCATGCGTTACAAACAAACATGTAACGTACCCCAACCGGAAGCCTTGTATGTAGAGCACGCTGCGCTCGCAGCATGTCCATTCAGTGTATCACGTTATCAGTTGGAGATAAGAACGTGTCACCAAAAATTCTCCTATTACATTCATTGAAAAATTCCTAATAGCCTCTCAGAAAACTTGGGTTTAAATGGTATATATTCATTAATGTAGTGCGTTTTAGGGAAGCTATACATTTTTCCCTGTTTTTATTGGTTTATATGGTTTTAATCAGTAGGTATATCGCAGGACTATAATTCGCCGCAAATGCCAATGTGATTCCCAGAAATTTTGCATGCATCAAAATGCTGATGTTAGAATTGAATGCTATAATTTGAACTCGTTCTATGACTTGAAGAGCAGCTATTTGTGATATGAAGGCTCTGAATTTGAACAAGCGAATATGAAAAACCGATCTAATAGCGTAAGAGAAATAAATTTCTGGGCTTATGATGGTATCCCATCCTGAGATGGTATCGAAATTTTCCTGAACAGAAAATTAATATAATTAATCTTGAATCGCCCAATTCACATTGTCGAAATCGCTTTCGTGACTAAACTCAACCTTATTTAATGCTCGATAAATACGCTGGAAGTATGCTAATCTCAAAGATCAAGAGTGAATACGCCGTTTTCTTGCGGAAATCCGTTTTAATTAATTAATGCTCGATAAATACGCTGGAAGTATGCTAATCTCAAAGATCAACAGTGAAATAAGCCGTTTTCTTGCGAAAATCCTTTGTTAGTG